CCTGAGAAACCTGTTGGTAAGAGCCCACATGCCACCACTGACTCCGCCCCATTTTTTACATTCCCTGCCTTCTGGCAACAGCCCCCAGTGCAACTTTACACACAAAGCGATGTGATCCACAGATCATTCACTTTCAAAATAGGAAGTGCATGTGTGTGAGTTTGTGTTTTTTTGGGTGTTTAGCTTCTGTTGCATTTGAAGGTATCATTTGGACGTGTATTTTTTCCTTCCCCCGAAATCTCTTGAATAGGATACATTAAGAGAAAAATTCTGGACCTCCCTTTTTTTTAAACCCTGGTTACGGACCTGGACACAAGGGGAGGAGCCAGCCGTCCCGTCCATGTTAACACGGCTCCGACAACAACACAGCCAGCGGGACTCAAGCTTCTCCCTCATTGTAGGCAGTCGTGACTCAGAGAGACATTTACACAAGATAAGCTTAATTTCTGATATATTTATGTATACATTATCGCACATTCTTCCTTCAAAGTTGGACATTTTGAAAGGGGACCTGATGGTAATTTACTCGCTTTTGGTGCCAGACCTTGAGTGGTCATCTGAGGAACTTTTGAGCACTTCCATATTTGCTTCATTGTTGTGGTCTTCAGATTTTCATTTGGAAAATAAGTAAAACAACATAAAACAGTTCAAAAACTTCAAAGAGACAACAGAAATACAAGATATCAATAAATAGATGCAACATGCCTCCAGAACAACATAACTTAGCATACTTTCAACATAATGTAGAGCATTATTTAAGCATCAGCTCCAACAAAAAAGGGAATATCTTGAGATACAATATAATTAAATAACTACAGATCTCATAACTGGATTTCTATCTGGTTGTGTAGTTTTCAACGTACTCACCTCTGAAAGGAGGCGCTGTGGTCCAGGGATAACGAGTGGTGGTGTAGGGTGGGTGGGTGCTGTAGGGTCCGGTGCTTGTGTCGGGTCTGTTGGTGCTGTAGGGTCCGGTGCTTGTTTCGGGTCTGTTGGTGCTGTAGGGTCCGGTGCTTGTGTCGGGTCTGTTGGTGCTGTAGGGTCCGGTGCTTGTGTCGGGTCTGTTGGTGCTGTAGGGTCCAGTGCTTGTGTAGGGTCGGGTGCTGGTTTTGTAGGGAGTAGGTGAAGACCATGGGTCAGGGGTATTAGTATTATATCTGGGGGGATAGAAGCGTATTCCTCCTCCATTAGCAGACAATGTGAACATCTTTCCCTTTAAATCTATTCCAGGTCCTGGAGAGCAAAAAGAAAGAGAAGTAATGTCAGCAGCCATAAACTGCTTTTTCAAGACGCCTTCAGAGGTAATAACAGAGGTGTTACAGGGGTGAGATGGCAAACCAACAGGTGTTGCAGCGATGGAAGCGGGCAAGAGAACTGGTTCAGATACCTACGTGCCCATGGACTCTAGAGAGGAGGGGGTGGGGGGAGACAGCTCTCTATCGGCTGCTATCTAAAGTTTTTAATTTGGGCTGCAGTACCAATTTTAAACACTAGGTGTCAGAGTTGCATATTGCTCCTTTAATATCCAGCCCCCCATGAAATGTAAACAAAGTAGGCATGGACCGTGACAGAACAAACTGCACACAAGTTTATTTAAAAGTGAAAAAATAGTTTATCACTATGGCCCGACCGATATAAGATTTTTGTGCCCGATACTGATATTGACATAAGAGAGAAAAATCAATATCGGCTGATATCTTTCTTTGATCTATGTTCAATCAATAGAGATAAATTATCCCTCATATCCAGTTATCAAACACTTGTAGAAAAGATATTTAACAAAGACAAGATGGTCACTCAAGTGGAAAGTAACTGCACATGTAAGTGCATCATTGTTTGACACCCTGGAGAGTGATGATGCTTGTTTTAGTACTTATAGCGCCCTCTGCTGGTTAAAAATAACAGCTAGCGTAATACAGTGATACTCAAATTAAATGCTATTTGACTGGTGATAAATCTAGTAATATTGGGTGCATATCAGAGATAAGATTAGCCAATACGATAGTTACTAGATATGCTAATATCAGCGGATATTATCAGCTGGCCGATCAATCGGTCAGTCTCTATTATTCATTACTGTGATTTATTTATGTATTTTTGATAATTCAAAAAGGAATGGATTTACACAGAATAATAACATACAGGAGGTTTGCTTTTTTCTTATTGTTACATTTAAAGACAGGGTTGGTCATTTTGGGTTGGTCATAAAACCATAAAACTAACAACTGATTTTGAAAGTAGCATTCCCTCAGTGCTCCGTCTGCACCCACCCCCTCCCCTCTGTGCTCCCTCAAAAGCCACGCCCCTTCACTTACATGCACGAGCGTTGGTCCAGAAGCGGACCCCAGCTCGTCGCTTTAAGTGTGGGCTCATGCATGAATGGGGTAGAGAACGAGCGGGGGAGACAGGGAGGCCTGTGATTGGTTCATCAGATTGGTACCTCGTGGCAGACATTGGTGGAAGTTTTTACAGGCTTACAGCTGCAACAGATGACCGATTTTCTTCATTCCTTCTTCAGAGCACATGAGTTATTAATTTCTGTCAGGACCTAAAGACAATTTCAAAATCTAAATCTCAGAGCTAGTTTGATATCTGAAACTGGGTCACATAATCAGTTTCCCAAAAACAAAGAATAAAAACAGGAAGTGAACTCTGACACATGATTTCAGTTTACAGAAGTGTTTATTTTCACATTCACATTTATTTAATGAAGAATTATGCTTTTTAGACCTCATACGGTACAAAACGTCTCACAGAACAAAAAGAAAAACAGCTCTGCGACCCATTTCTGGGTCCTGACCTCCTTACCTACCAGTTGGAAATCTCGGACCTCTCACCTGAACCTGCCGTCGTTTGTTTCTTGTTTTTTACTTGTTATCTTACTAATGTCATAGGCTACATTTGACTTTTTAGATTCTAGACACGCTGCAGAGTGTCCTCTAAATGTAAGCAGGCCAATTTCCCAATGACATAAAAGTGTGAATAATGTGTTGTGTGTTTAGTCAATGTTTGCATACCTTGCGTTGTCCATGATGTTGTCGGCCATACTTCATCAATTGCAGCATCGGGTACATATGCAGTCGTTTTAGGATGAGTGCTCAATTTAAATCTAGAGTTTGTGATGAGCAGCGCTGCAGACATCAGCGCCATCACTATGGGAACATAAAACAGCTTCGTCCTCATCCTCACACGCACTGGGTCTCTGCAAAGAATCGTCTGTGTCCTCACTGTGAAAGTGTCTATCTGTATGAGGTTTCTGTAAACAGCCTGCACTTTAGATTGTGTACTTTCAGTTCCTGGTACAGACGTCAGTAACCACTTAAGTTTCGTTTCTGGCTGAAGTCCCCACAGACCTTTAGAAGGCCGACAGGGTCATAAATAGTCTCCGTGACCAAATGTTTAATAAGCTGTTACCATGAGTTTTATCAACAAGAGTATTTAAGAGTTCACAAGTCTGATGGCCTTTTGAAAAAAATGCATTTCAGAACAGGCTTTTTGCTTTTCTTAGTTTAGATATACGTAAGTAGCCAAGCTGCATTATTTACAGTATATGGAACGCCAACAGGATCATAATATGTCTACGTCTCACTAGCATTTTTGCAAATAGTTAATTTTGTCAGTACGATTACATGCAGTTATAGAAAAAAAAGTCGATGAATTGCGTTAGTCACACTAAAAATGGAACAAATAAACAATATGACAAAAGATGACCTTGAGGGCCTCAAACCCCATAAGTTGTTTGCCAACAGTTAAAACTTCTGAAGACCTTCTAAGTTGACTGCAATTCAGCTTGTGTACTTTCATTTCCTGGTGCAGATATCAGCAGCCACTTTAAGGTTTATTTCTGTCTGAAGCGCCCATACACAGAATCTATGGAACGCCAAAAGGTTCAGAATTCATCTGCATATCTTTTAAATAAGCAAAACCATGAAATGAATAAGTTTCATTATTAGCCTAAGTGTTTGAATGAAAAATAAAAAATAACCAACCCTGAGTTTTACAAATGTTGAAACTGAAACTTGTTTTTGTATCTTGTCTTAGAAATTTCTTTTAGTAAATGCAATGAATCCAAGTCTTTAATTGTTCATTTTACATTGTTTCTTGTCCTTCACTTTCACACACTTTCTGGACATCTTTTTTTCCTTTGGGCGCCGCCCTCTCCCTCGGCTGCTGCTGATTCGCTGCTTTGCCTGGTTCTCATAGACGTCCTCCAATAGTGCGTTTCCTCTGAAAGAGTAGTTGATGGAGGACCAGGTGAGGACATTTCCAGAACTCCATGACCTGAAAAAGACAAATATGTTTTTAGAATTAGGGTTCTTTCACAAGCCCAAAACGATTATTTATCCAACAACAATGTTAAGACGCAGATGAAGAAGAGTTTAAATCGAGTCCAAATACAGATTAAACGAGATCTATCAAGACATTTTTAGGAAAAGACTTTATGTTTATATCTCATGTATGCAGACGGTTTACTATAAACCTGGTTGAAAGTTTTTTCATACAGCTGTAACCTTTAAACCAGAACTTATTCGATCTTTTCTCCTGCAACCTGAAAAATACTTACTAAAAGATCTGCACACACACACACACACACACACCAACGAGTACATACTCAAAGGTACTCCTGGTCATGTAGTTGAAGACTTCTTTGTAGCGGAGAGGATAATCCCACACCTGGACGTCTGTCAGCTGACCATCAAAAGCTGGAAACTCAATCACAGGCTCACCTGACCACACATACTGAACACACACAAACATGGACACACACACACAGCAGATAAATCAAATTAGAGACATATTGTGCCCATCAGCTTTATAAAAACAACCTAAAGAAAAGTGAAGTCAAACTCCCTCTGGGTTTGTTGTTCTTAGCACTGTGTTCACACTGACAGGACGGTGCCTCATTGATAATAGCTTTATTTATATAGCACCTTTATATAGTGCTTTGACAGACAGAGCAAATACAGCAGCACGACAACAGAACAGAGATCAACAGAGGGGCCAAACAGAGAGGGCAAAATTGTAAAAATGCAAATAACAGGAATAATATAGATTCAACAGGCAGGTATGGAGAGGCAGTTCAATACAATGAAGGAAAATTACCAGTAGTTTAAAATCAACCATGAGAGCAAAATTAAAATTGAGGGAGAGTGGGACGACATCACATCACAGGCTGTAAACACAGAATGAAGATAAAAAGAAGGGATAAACAGGAGATTGGTTAAATGAATAAAGCAACAGAGAGCTGAAGAGTTAAACGATAAAAGGAGTAGATAAATCTTATCTCCTCAGGCAGGTTGTTCCAAAGTCGAGGGGCTCTGATCGCAAAGGCTCGGTTTAGATTTGAGCCTCGACTTTGGAACAACCAGAAGGGCACTGTCTGAGGATCTGAGGTCACGAGAAGGTTGGTAGGGGGTTAAAATTTCACAAATGTAACTCGGGGCAAGGCCAAGAGGAGCTTTAAAAGTGATCAGTAAGATCTTAAAATCAATTCTAAAAGTGACAGGTAGCCAGTGGAGGGAAGCAAGGACAGGAGGGATGTGATGTCGTCTGTCAAACCCAGTCAGAAGCCTAGCTGCTGCATTCTGGACCAGTTGGATTAAGCTTGTTTAGGTTTCAGCCAGAGGCTCAAAACATGTTCCAGGTACAAAGACACATCAGACATGTTGCTGCAGGAGCTGGGGATCAAACTCCTGACCTTACTGTACGGTTGCGAGACGACCAACTCTACCAACTGATCCACAGCCGCCCCGACCAATAGCTCTCTTAAGATGCTGATTAGACTTTCAAACAATGTAGCACAAAGAAAAGGAAGTCTTGGCTGGAAGGCTTTTATGGCTACAAGGAATTTCCATGAAGTTGGCCATCGTTTGCAAATGCACATATCATTGACGGGTTCAGAGATTGTGGTCCTACTAACAACTTGAGGAGCAGCCTGACCATCTTGAGGCCTATGCTTCTTAGTTGCAGTTGTATGCAGATTGTGTTAATTGAGATAACCCAAAAAAATCCAATTTCTCATCAGGTGAAGGAAACGTTTTGTCTGGAAGTCTTTTATAGCTAGCTGCTGTCTTCACAGGGAATCTGTTATTTAAACGCAGGGTTATTCTCAGCCTTTGCCATCTTCCATACCTCAAAAATCTCTGATTCAGGCTGAAAGAGTCAAAAATGACTTCAGTAAGAGTCCTCACCTGAGTAGAAAGCATCTTCCTGATGCTCATATCGGGGCCTTTAAACATCTGGGCCACATTCTTCAAACCATCCACAGTTACACAGATTCTGGTCCAGATTTCTGGCTTGGTGTTTGACCAGAGTCTTATGTCAGGCCGCAGCAAAATGTTGTCCTGGCTGTACGTGCTATAAGCAAGAGCATATCGATCACTGTCATAGACTCGCAGTGACAGCGGACTTGTGGATGGACTGAGGGTGAAGACTGTGGGCTTATATTCTCTCTGAAAGTCGTTGAGGAGACGCAGACACACCGACACACCTGCAGAGGCGTAATGATGTAACAAGTTAAGCAAACTAGAAACAGCTCCTTTTTTTTCCTTCAAAAACTTTCATTTATATTTACAGTCTATAAAAACAGCCCTGAAATGACTCTCTTGAAATCCATTGGAAAATTAAACATGGCGCGCTTTGTGTTTGTCTTTTATTACTGCTGTCACACAAAGTGATGCTTCTTTCAACCATTTGCTGGACTGCAGTGTTTCTAGCTCCAGCCTTTGTGGTCGAATCCTGACCTTTGGTACCCCAACAAAAGGGTAGAAAAAAAGTAGGATGGTACGAATTGGTCATTTCTGTGGCTTTCCAAACTTTTGTCTGTGGAAACGACAATAAATAATTACAGTATCGAATTGAACTCAACTGGGCCACTTGGTTAAAATAGGGCTTTACAGCGTTAACAGCGGATTAGCAAAGTAGAGGAGGAAAGCCGAGAACCAAAACTAACAAAGCAGTCATTGAACTGTCTATAAACGTGAGAGTCTGCTCCAAACAGACACTAGAATTTTATCTGTAAGTCAAATTTGTATTTTGGTGAGTGGAAAGGGCGTGAGGTCAATTCTATGGCCAGCTCCCTTCTGAGCATTTCTTGGCTCCAAATATTTCTGAACAAGCGCAATAAGTCAGCAACTGTTGCAGGGGTATTTTGGTTTCAATTCTGTACAACGGAAGTGGACGGAGACATGATGTCCATGTTGATATACAATCAATAATCTGAACACAGAGAAACTGATACAACTTTACCAAAATAGAACAACTAACATGTATAAAAACTCTTAGAAATGATGATGCAAGACAAAAAAAAGACACCTTATTAGTTTATTCTCTGGTGGGCCCACTGCCCAACAGACCTGTAGTATTGCTTAATATGTAAATTATGTAACCTGAAACTTGTTTGCGTTGACTTCTGGTTGGAATTCAACAATAGACCAGTTAGGGTTGGATAGCCTTACCTTTGGTAGGGGTCGGAGGGGAGGCGGTGTAGGGTGGCGCAGTGGAAGGCCAGGCGGTGTTGTATCCCTGGTCCCTGTAGGGAATGTATGGAGTGGGGGTGATGTATTCGAGGTTCCAGTCGGGAATGTATGGCCAGGCGGTTTTGTATCCACGGTTCCTGTCGGGGATGTATGGAGTGGGGGTGATGTATCCCCGGTACCTGTAGGGGATGTATGGAGTGGGGGTGTTGTATCCCCGGTACCTGTAGGGGATGTATGGAGGGGTGTTGTATCCCCGTACCTGTAGGGGATGTATGGAGTGGGGGTGTTGTATCCCCGGTACCTGTAGGGGATGTATGGAGTGGGGGTGATGTATCCCCGGTACCTGTAGGGGATGTATGGAGTGGGGGTGATGTATCCCCGGTACCTGTCGGGAATGTATGGCCGGGCAGTGTTGTATCTGTGGTACCTGTAGGGGATGTATGGAGGGGGTGTTGTATCCCCGGTACCTGTAGGGGATGTATGGAGTGGGGGTGATGTATCCCGGTACCTGTAGGGATGTATGGAGGGGGTGTTGTATCCCCGGTACCTGTAGGGGATGTATGGAGTGGGGGTGTTGTATCCCCGGTACCTGTAGGGGATGTATGGAGTGGGGGTGTTGTATCCCCGGTACCTGTAGGGGATGTATGGAGGGGGTGTTGTATCCCCGGTACCTGTAGGGGATGTATGTGGGGGTGTGTATCTGTGGTATCTGTAGGGATGTATGGCCGGGCGTGTTGTATCTGTGGTATCTG